CGGGGGGGGGGCCGGTGCGGCCGGGCTGGGACCCGGCCCCAGGGAGCCCCGGGGACCGGCCGGCCAGTGGCAGGGCCAGCCCTCGAGCCAACTGCCCCCCGCGCCCCCCAGCACTGCATTCCCGGGCCGTGCCAGCCCCCCACGCAAACCCAGCACCTCACTGCCACAGCCAGGCCCCACAGCTCCAGCTCGGCTCCTCCAGCCCCACGCCACCATGGGGCTGGGCACGTCCACATGCTGACCCCGCCACGGGCTGCAACGGGAGGGGGACAAACCCGGCCTGAGGAGCTCAGCTGTGAGGACAGGGCTTGACAAAACCCACCATCGCGGGCCAGACGCTGCCAGAAAAGCACTGGTAGGACGGGAGGAGGGAAAGGAGGCAAAGAGAGCCTCGCCAGGGAAAGGCCCCCTCCTCGGCGGGGCGAGGAGCGCCGCTGCCTGCGCCAGGGCTGTGTCCCTTTAAATCCCCCGGTGCAGCAACCCCCGAGCAGCGCTCTGTTTATTTACCCAGGGCTTGCAAACACGTGCTTGCTGCACAGGAAAAGCAAAAACCAAACAAACTAGCAGCAAGTTTCTATAATTGGCATAAAAGCCTGGCAAATCTTTAAACCGTGGAGCTCAGCAGGTACCAGCGTTTGGCAGGATTTGTATCAAACGCCCTTGAACGGGGACGGGACAAGAAACCTGAATAACAGGGGGTGGGAAGGGCCTTCGCAGCAGCACCTGGCTCCCTCACAGCGCTTTCCCCTCCCTTGGTAAGGCACACCGACGAGGCAGACGGGATCGTTCTCCCCTCTTGGCGGGGGAAACCGAGGCAGCTAGTGGGAACCTGCGTCCAGCCAGGCGGTGAGCAGAGCGGCGCGACCCCAGAGCTCTGCGCCAGCAGCGTTTCAGCCCTTGTCTCCCTGCAGCCAGCGGCGATCCCAGCCCTCCACCACGGGCTGAGCTTTGGGCCAGCTTAACCGCGGCTCCAGGCAATAGGATCACCCCAAGGCGAGCAGCCCCACCACAGAAAACCCCTTCTCAGCCCCCCCGCCGCCTCCATTCCCCCCCCCAGGTCCCCAGACCTGCCCGGGTGAGGATATCCCAGGTAGCTCCACGGGGGAAGAACCGCTTCATGTTTATGGCCCACTGATAGTCGCTCCATCGCTCCTTCCAGGCCTGCAGAATGGCCTGCTTCAGGTTCACCACCTTCATGGCCGCGCTCTGCGAAGGGAGGGTGGCAGGGCAGGGCTGACAGGGTTTTTATTTGGGGGGGGG